AAAAAAAAAAAAAAAAAAAAAAAAAAAAAAAAAAACAACAACAAAAAACTATGCTATTTAATGTTTCCCAAATTTATTTGACTAGTGATTTTGGGGTTTTTGCATAGATCCTTGTTCACAAAATTTAGGACTCCTTGAACCAAAATGGTTAAAACTTCAAGATAAACTTAGGTACAAGGTACAAAACAATACAGAGAATATAAACCTTTGCAATTCAATTCAAGCAATATAACCATCTGCAAATAAAAAAGTATTTTAAAATGTTTAGATATATTTATAGCTATGTTATCCACTAAAACAGATTTTCCCCAAGGAGGTTACATTGACACCAGAGACCATATTAGCCTAGACAGATTTTTTTAGGCATTTTGTAAATTAGGTTCTAAATGGATAATATATAATCTAGAAGAGCTTCCTTAGGTAGTGATCTAAGTAAAACCATCACTTTTTTTCCTTTATAGAATAACTGTTTTGTGCCTTTTATGAAAAATATAATTTGTTTAAATTTTCAGATGTTTGAACAGTTTTTAAACATTAATCAGTTGAATATGCATATTTTATTTGAAGTCTTTTAATAAACTCATCTAATAACATTGGGTGAAATTATCAACAAACCCTCAAATCAGCCTGACCTGTGTATGATCTGTGATTCTGTAAGTCATAAACTTTGTGACCGTGGACAAGTTAACTTCTCTCCATCTCAATTTCCTGAGGTGTAGGATGAAAATTATGTCTAGCACATAATAAATTTGCTATAAATGTTAAAAGTTTTTTTGCACTCCATTAAAAGTTTGGAGGTGTAAAAGGTAGGCATAAGAATTATAAAAGTTAGTTAATGTCATTCTGTTATGAGATTGACGCCCACAACAAAAAGACATGTTTTTCTCTTTGAAGATGCCTAAATAAACTTTATAAATTCAAAATATCCCATTTGAACAAACAATAACGAGAAGAATAGCTGTTGCTGTCCCATCAGGACAGGGTGCACTAGCCATATACAGTAACTGAAAATAATATATAACATAAAATGAAAACTTAAGAGAAAATGTTGATAGTTCCAATGTAATCGTACAGTTGGAAAATTTTCCAACCTTCAGTATTATCAAAATTTATCACGGAAAGCTGTGCCATGTGATCTTTAAGCATTAGGTAAAAATGGAGGTTGCTGGCATGTACATTACAGCTAGTTCACTGATTTGGAGCCCTATTTGTTGGGAGACTTGGGTTGGAACTGACTTGGGAGAAAAGAGCATAGCATCAACACCTCTTCAAGTAGCAGCTTGGGAATGTTCCCTTTCCAGTACTGCCATATCTGCCTGTCTACAGAAATACACAGGAAATAGAAAATCAAATCAGAAACATAAACGCGGATGGACTGTGGAGGCAACATGGCATGTAATTTTCTTTTATATAGAATCGTTCCTAAAATCCTCGTATAAACTTGTGACTTGGAAGATCTGTACTTTTAACCCTGGCACGATGACATACCGCAAAATAAAATTACTTTCATAATGTAATTTTACAATGTCTGGTACCATTGAGACAAGATCTGAGGAAACTTGTTTTCTGGATATCTGATGTGATATATCCGAACGTGAATAAAACCTGAAGTCCCCTAATTCCTCTTCCCCGTATCAAACAAATAGATACCTAAAAGCCTTTGTAAAAAGTAGCAGCAGCCAAGCTCAAGAGTGATACTTTTTCAGATACAGTATAGCACTGTTTCTGCAAAAGGTTACTCACATGAATATAACGTTTCTTGGGCTAATTTCTCCGCCACGAGAACAGCTAGGCTAAAACTTCCAGGTCTCCCACCCCGGGCCACTCGAACCAAGATCGTGACGTGAGCCCGGGAAAAGCCGAGGGGCAACCCCAACCGAGGTCACTAAAACTGAAGTTGCAAGGCGCTGGCCGGCAACCGGAAGTAGTCCAGGGAGAGTTGTACGAGATTCATGGGCTGTGACTTGGAAATAAAACAAAATAAAACAAAACCTTAACTGTTTTAGGACCGACTTTCAAAAGAGCGTCCCTCTGGCTCAAGAGGCCGGCGTTCGCGGAGATGTCGCCTCAAAGGGCTGTCCCCAAAGCGTGTAGGCCGCGCACCGCGCTCCTCGCGGGCGGGCAAAATGGGGGCCGGCGCTCAAGAAGCGCCTGCCCAGGCGCCCGGGCGCCGCTCACAGACCACTCCGCCTGAGGATGGAGAGCGCCGCCTCCCTGCCGCCCCCGCCGCGGGCCGGATACCGCGACCTCCGCCAGCCACCGCCCTTAGCCCCAATGGCCACGCCTGCCCTAACCGGCGCGGGCGTTTCCCAGGTGCTGCTGGGCAGGCCCCGCCTCCGCCCCAAGCTCCGCCCCCAGGCAACCACCAGCAGTCCCGCTCCCACAGCCCCCCCGCCCCCACGCGCCCCCAAGCTCCGCCCCCGCGGAACCCGAGCGCGGAAGGCCAGGCCTGGGAGGAGCTCAGAGCGCCGGTTGCTGGAGAAGCTGAGCTGGAGCACCCGGTTGGTCAGGCCAGAGTGGGCCCGAGGCGGACGTGAACAGGGTCGGATCAAGATGGCGGTGCAGGTGGTACAGGCGGTGCAGGCGGTTCATCTCGAGTCTGATGCTTTCCTAGTTTGTCTCAACCACGCTCTGAGCACAGAAAAGGAGGAGGTGATGGGACTGTGTATAGGGGAGGTGAGTAGGTCATTCTGCGTAGCTGGAACCCTGCTAGCAGTCCCCAGTAGTCCCTGAGGCGACTGGTAGGCCACAGGAACCTATGACTTAGATCTTTGGACATTTTTTAGGTGGCTCAATCGCGGTGGCCTTTTCTTCTTGTCGCATGACACTTGCTCATCCTCCTGCAAGCCCTCAGCGATTTGCATAAACCCACGGGGTTGGGGACTTGCTTCAGAGATGATCACCCATTGCCCAAAATTGCAAGTCAGACCAGAAATACATTTGAGTGGGATGAAGGCTACAAAGTATATGAAGCAGACCTGCAGACCAGGGTTAGAGCCCCTTGCTTTGCCACCAGCCTTCCTTCTAGAGAAGTGGAGGTACCGAGAAAGCGAGAAAGCTTTTTAAAGCGTCGCAAACATCCTAAGAAAGAAGAAACCCTTTCAGAGACTCGAAAGTTTTCTTTGTGTTGCAGAGGAGAGAAAGTGGATGAGGAAATACAATTCAGCTGTTTATTCTATAAATTCTCCAGTCTTTCTTGTTGATATGTATGAACTCATGACCTAATTTTCATATAATCTGCATCCCTGTAATCAAATAAGCGTAATGTGATCAATAATATTTTCTGCTCTTTTCCACTCTAGTTGAATGATGACACAAGGTAAGACCTTTTGTTTACTCATATTTTATTATCTCTAAGGCATTCTTAAATAAAAATTATGACAGGTTTGGCAGTATTGTATATTGATTGGATCTTAAATTACCTTTATGAGTCTGGAACTCTATCAGTGATACACTTTGAGTTCCACCCCAACTCTGAAGGTTCATTTCCACCTTATTTCTTACTAGAAGGATTTTCAGTTGAGATGTATATGCCCTTATGTGAAAGACATAGTGGAGGAACCAAAATCATAAGTGAATGTATGAAAGCACTCATAAATAGAATCTTATTAACTGCAATAAAGGCAACATATTAACAACACTACCAGTATATTTACATTTGGTACTATTATTTTTCATTTTCTTGCTTGATGTGTTTTCATTTGCTATTTTCCCTGCAATGCCAGTAACACGCCAGTATTTTTCTTTTTATCTGATATTTTATGCGTTTAGGGCTTTCCCCCTGTTAATCCAAATTCCTCTCTGTGTAAATGGTCAGTGGCCTTCTCCTTGGTGGCCCCTACAGTGATCCCAAAGATCTATAATAGCTTGAATGCTATTATAGCTTTTCAAACTATAGTTTAATGTATTTCTCAAGCCCACCTCATATCATATATATATATATATATATATATATGTAATATTAGTTATTGATAGACCTTTGTTTTTATTTATTTATTTATATGCAGTGCTGAGGATCAACCCAGTGCCTCACATATGCTAAGCTAGCACTCTACCACTGAGCCACAACCCCAGCCCACCTCTTTAATAGTTAGAAATCTTCAGCTCAGTTCACTTTCCC